CAGCCTCAAAGATTCGAATCATGACTCGAATCAGATTCGAGTCATGATTCGGCGAATACCTCAAAAATATGAATGATTCGGCGGATCGCCGAATAGTATTCGGGGGGTGATTCGCCGCACACTGAACTAGATAGTATAGTAGTAGGCGCGTGTAGCTATCTCTATTTAAAGTATATGTACGCTATGTAGGTAGGGATATGTATAGTATAGAGTTCGTATATAGTAACGAGGCGTAGGTGTAATAGGATAGAGCTGCTATTAAATGGATGTTAATGGGCGCGACCGGATTATGCTACTATAACGCAGTAGTAGGTGCCGCTGACGGGATGGTGCCGCCCTTCGGTAACTAGAATGGTGCCGCCTTGTCGATGCGGATGCCGCTGTTCGGATGCCGCCGCCGAATCCCATTTATGACCCGAGATATACATTTGAATTACAACACTACAGAACGGTTTTAGGATATTAGGAAGAGTGAAAAATAGAGTTTAAGTATACTGTAATCAATTCCCGTAAACCGTATCAGTTCCTATAAAAGCGCCTTAGAATGGCAGGTGTCTATAAACTTCTCGCGGGTATAGTGTCACGTTAGTACTTATGTAGCAGCAAGTAAATCTTTCACCACAACCGCTATAAATGCTCTATGATCCTTAAAATCAAGCAGGAGATAGAATGGGCATGTGCGCTTTATTCCCCGTGGTCGGTATCAGTTCTCGAGAACGGGTTTCAGTTCGGATCAGTTTGAAAGATACTAGATGTATATACAGTACATCCCCAAACCTACGCAGCAACAGCGCACTATGTTCCCACACCTACAACTCACCACGTTATGCTCTAATACTCCTCATACTCAAATGGGAGATAATTCACATATATCTAATTCAAACCCCGCGGTCGGTATCAGTTGTAAACAAGTAGTATCAGTTCGCATCAGTTTTGAAAACCGGATGCCTCTGCGGTTCCGCTCATACTTTACCGGAACCCGGCTAGTTACTATATACAGCATCTTGTAGCAGCCACAGCACGCCACGCTATAGTCGGATCTGTATAAAATTCAATCGTAGTATAATTCACATGTATCTAATTCAATTCCCGCGGTCGGTATCAGTTGTGAGCAAGTGGTATCAGTTAGGATCAGTTTGGTAGACCGAGTGCGCGGGCTGCTTATAATCCCATTACGGAACCCGACCATTCACTATAGGTAGCATCTTGCAACGGCCACAACTCGCCACCCCATAGTCACATCCTTCTTAAATCCAGTTATACAATAGTTCAGATGCATAGAATCCATTCCCCGCGGTCGGTATCAGTTGTGGGTAAGTGGTTTCAGTTCGGATCAGTTTGGTAGACGGGGTGCGCTAGCCTCTCATGATTACTACAGAATGCATCATCTTGCAGCGGCCACAACCCGTCATCCCGTAGTCGTATCGATCTAGAATTTAATTATACGATAGTTCACATGCATAGAATCCATTTCCCGCGGTCGGTATCAGTTGTACGCAAGTGGTTTCAGTTCGGATCAGTTTGGCGTAGTAGGTGCGCTGGCTGCTAATGAAAACTATTATATGATGCCAACCACTCAACACGCCACAGCCTGTAGCTCACTACGCCACGGCCTATAGCTCACCACGCTGCTATCGGAGGGTTTTCAAATTCAGACATACGATACTATAGGCATTTACGTACAGTTTCCCGCGGTCGGTATCAGTTTCGAGTAAGTGGTTTCAGTTCGGATCAGTTTGGCGTAGTCGCGCCTCAGCAGGGCAATGTGAGAGCCGCGCGCCTTACCATGCTACAGCCTATAGCTCACCACGCTGCTATCAGCGGGTTCTAAAATTCACAGATACGATACTATAGGCATTTATGTACAGCTTCCCGCGGTCGGTATCAGTTTCGAGTAAGTGGTTTCAGTTCGGATCAGTTTGGCGCAGCGGGCTTCAACAGTAGTAATGCCATACGGGGACTGTACACAGAACACACCACCTTAGAGAAGGGACAGCACATAACACAAGAATCGTAACTGGTTGAGATTTAAATACAGGATACTATAGACCTATATATTCGTTTCCCCGTGGTCGGTATCAGTTGTAGAAAGGCGGTTTCAGTTTAGATCAGTTTGGCGCCGTAGACAATGTGAGAGTTGGGCGCTCGCAGCATATGCGCGCGTCATATACATAGAACGCATCGGCCTCTGGTAGATATAGCACACGACGTGATTATCATAGGCAATAGAGATTGAAATCTAGAGTAATATAGACCTATACAAGTTATTTCCCGTGGTCGGTATCAGTTCTAGGTAAGCCGTTTCAGTTTGGATCAGTTTTGAGATGCCTCCTCAGACCGGTAGGGCTTGTCACGTAGAACGCGCCATGTTACAACGCACGTAGCTCATCACGCTATAACTATAGATACCTCATTTTGAAAACCTTGATTCTATAGACCTCTATACGCTATTCGCCGTGGTCGGTATCAGTTGTGAACAGTTTGTTTCAGTTTGGATCAGTTTTGAAATCCTGCGTAGATAGGCAAATCCAGACAGGCGAAGCCGGATAGGCGGGACATACCATCCTGTAATAACACACCATCTTACAACAGGCACAGCTCACCACATCAAGGTCGCAAATGCTTCATTTTTAAAATCTTAATTCTATAGACCTGTACACATTATTCTCCGTGGTCGGTATCAGTTGCGAACAGCTGGTTTCAGTTTGGATCAGTTTTAAAGTCCTGTGTAAACAGGCAAAGCGAAGCCGGACAGCCACCTTACAACTAGCACAGCTCACCACGCTACGGTCGCAAATGCTTCATTTTTGGACATGGAACTCTATATACATATACGTCTTGTTTACCGTAGTCGGTATAACTTTTGATCAATGGGTCAGGGACGCGATACGATTCCCAAGTGACTATTCCCGCAACGCATACATCTCGCCACACCACGGTCGCAAATGCCTGGTTTTTGGATATGGGTTTGTACCGGCATTTCAGTACCGATCCTTGTGGTTGGTATCAGTTGTGCGCAACGCGTTGGGAAGCATTTGGATCAGTTGCGCACAACGCGTTGGGGAGCCCAACCTGTTTGGACAGGCGAAGCGCGTCGCAACTCCGCGATGGAAAAAGGCTATAATACACGATTCAAACAGGCAAGCATTTACAAACCCATCCCGATGCAAACGGAAAGTCGTTTCATTTCTAACTCTACTCTAGCGACAACGCGAAGCAAATGGAGCCACAGTCTACCCGATCACGATAGGTTCCAGTAAAAAGAATCCAGCCGTAGCTGGTAAAGCATTGACGGAGCGGAGACGCGGGGCTAGTGGGAGGATGGTAGGGATCCCGTCAGCGCCGTACATGATGCACGGCGTTCCTTCCTCTATGCAGCCACCACAGCACCAATTTCCTGCTTCGTGGGCATTATCCGGCCTATTCCGCCGTCTGTTCACACGGTGGAAAACGCATCGCACGGCTAGAGGATTTGGGCGCCACCACTTCTTTCTGTCTCTTAGCGGGATGATGGCAGCCGTGATGGTGCCGAGAGTCTCCTCATGAACATGGGACGTGAACACGCCATTTCCCAAAGTGCTAGAGACCAAGAACCGAAAATCGAGGCTCCCGACGGCAACACCAGGCGGGGCCTCGATGCGCGAAGGCACGGGCACAGCAGAGGGACCTGCAGAGGTTGCGACAGGGACGGGCCCAGCCGGGGTCGCAGAAGTTGACGCGATAGGACCAACCGGGTTTGCAGGGGGCATAACAGGGCTATGTCCGGACACGTTGGTTGCGATATACAGAGGGGAGTTTCCGGACACGGATGGGACCACAGGAGAAGTTTCGGTCGCAGAAGCCTCGGTCGCGTTTGGTTCAATCACAGAAGTATGCACGGGGGTAGGCAATCTGGCTTTGGTCATGGGAATATCAGCATCCAACTCACGATGCTTACTACCGGCGGCATGACGGCTATTGATAGGCCCGCCTGTCCCGGTGGTATCAGAAATCTCGGCGCTGCTCGTGGCCATGGGCGTATCACCACTGGCGGCATGTCGACCATTGATTGGCCCGCCTGTCCCAGCAGTTCCAACAAACTCATTGCGGGTATCACGAAGCTCACCGCCGGCGGCATATCGACCACTGATCGGTTGCGCTCCGTGATGGAGACTCGTCGGTGCGCTGCGAGGGGGAGCTCGCAGTCGGCGAGAAGGGAGATGGCCCATCGCGCGGCGGACTCGTCGTCATAGATGATCCCGGGCGCGGAGGAGGGCTCATGCTCGTGAATGACGACGATGAAATGGACGAGGAACGAGAAAATGGCCTGCTCGGCTCGCAACCCACAGACGCGATCGATGGCCTGTCCAACCCACAGCCCACAGACACGCGCGCCTTTCGGCGTCTCTCTGCCTCCTCCTCTTCCTCCTGCTGCGCTTTCCGGACGCGCTCTCTCTCGTCTGCAGCAGCGCGCTTGAATTCGTTGGCGACTGCTTTGGTCACCTCCCCCTTCGTCGCGGAATCCCCAATCACAGTCAGGATCGTTTCCATCCTGCTGTCCTCTGACCCATCGACCGATTTCTGCAGGCGCTGGACCTTCTCGTCCATTTGGGCCAGACAATCGGATATCCTCTTGATCGACATCTCGAAGATAGAAGACATGACACTGTCTCGTCGCAGGTCCCAGAGAAGTTCCCGGATGCCGTTCCGCGAGTTGGTCACCGTGTCATCGACCTTAGACTGAACGGCCCGCATTGATGAGTCGATTTCGCTGATAATCCTCGCCCGGTTAGAGTGTGCCTCTAGCCGTGCTGTACTGGCCTCCTCGATGATTGCACGTTGAGCTTTCTCGATGGTTGTCTCAAGCATATCCTTTGTGAGGTCTACTCGATCACCAAATGCGCTTAGGATGGCGGAGAATCCGTCCGATTTCATCGCCACTCCCGCCATCTCGGCAACAGACTTGCTGAGCAGGTCGAGCTCGAAGACGGTATCTCCGATTCTGTTGCCGTTGAGATCTGCAGCGATGCCGATCTTGCTGAGCCGCCGTTGGGTATCTGCCATGCCCCTCTTGATCTGCTCGGACTGCATCGTTACGGCGTTCTCAATCGTCGACAACCTCGACGTGCTCGTGTTTGCTATCGAGTTAAGCTTCCCAAGCGACTCGGCGATAGCGTGGGACTTCTCGAGAGAGGCAATCTTTACGGAATGCTCGTTCTTCTGCGCGTCGTATAGCGCTTCTGCTTTCTCTGCACGAACGGTCATCTGCGTGATCTGGCCCCGAAGGGATTGGTTTGCCTCCTCTACCTTTCCTGCGACAACGGAATTCTGGCGGAGGGCGGTATTCTCGTGCTCAAGCCGTACAATATACCCCGAATTAGCCGCCTCGATAGCAGTCGTTATCTTGGCAAGTACGTCCTGCGTCTTCGCCGCATTCGAGACATCTGCCTCAAGCTTTGCGATGGCTAGAGTCTTCTCCTTAATGGCATTATAGCCTGATAGGATGTCACCCTGGAGGTGCTCAACTAACGCGCCCTTCCGGGTGTTGTCGCGAACGAGGTTCTCTTGCGCGGCCATTATGACAACCTTCTCCTGGTTGAGGGTAGCAACCTGGTCCGCAAGATCGGTGACGCGCAGCCCCGATGCCGTCTTCTCTTGCATAAAGCGGCCAACCTGAAGAAGCAGCCTTCGGTTTTCCCCTACCAAACCGGCGTTGGCAGTGCGCAGTCCGTCTACTGCCGTTTTAGCCTCTGCCTCAACCACTGCGATCCTTGTCGCCGAGTCTTGCGCTGACGTATGCGCCTGGAGGCGCTCCGTCGCCATCCTTAGCCCGTCCTCCGCTATCTTTTTCCGGAGAGTGCTGATGGTCGCAGCATCTCGAGATGTAGCATCTCGTGCGGCATTGAGGGCAGCGGCATCCGACTGCTTCAATGCATCCAGGTCCACAGTATATTTATTTTTCTCGTCCTGAAACTCCTTCCTCATCGCATCGAGATCGGCTTCAAGCCTCTCCTTCTCCTTCCTCATCGCATTAAGACTCTCCCTCTCATCCCGTAGCGCATCCATCTCAGCCTTCTCCTTGTCCCTCTCCTTCCTCATTGCATCAAGATCCGCCTCCCCCTTCTCCCTCTCTTTCCTCATCGCATCCAGCTCAATTTGAAGCCTTTCCTTCTCCTTCCTCGTCGCATCCATCTCCGCCTTCTCTTTCCCCCTCTCATCCCGCAACTGCTTTATCACCCCCTCAGCCGCATCAAGCTTCGCCTTTGCCCACTCTGAATCCGATTTGGCCACTCGTGAATCGACTCGCGCCTCGAGAAGTTCCCGATTCGTTTTCTGCTGCGCCTCCTTTAGGATCTCGACAGAGACCCCGAGTCGCTTCGCATTTGCGCTGTTCTAAAAGGTGCTCGTAGCACTAAACTTCTCTTTGAGATTCTCGACCTCGTTGGCGGCGTCATCCGCCTCATGTTCCAAGGCGAATGCTTCGGTCGTAAGCCGGCTCATCTCATCCCAGACTGCTGTACAATCCGCTTTTGCCTCCTCATCCCCATACTCCCCATCGATTTCCTGAAGTTCGCGAAGTCGGTCCACCTGATCGATAATATGCCTTTTCCTCTCCCGCTTCACTAATGCCATTTCAATTCCGCGGCCAAACCCGTCCTGGTTACCAGGATATGTGACACGGGTAACGCGCTCGAGGTGAACCCTAAACGGCTCCATGATTAGTTATTATGTATCGTAGGAAGGGCACAATCCGGTTAAGTAAGTCAGGCACAGTCTGGTCACAGAGAGATGAAGGTATGCGGAAACTGGGTTGGTCACTGCACATTCACCAGTCCCGATTAGGATACTGCCTCCAAAACCCGCAAACTCTCCATAGTGTGCTATGCTATCGAATACTTGATGATTTACATGTCCTGAACCCGTCTTGTCATCCTGCTGCCATCTTGTCATCCTAATGCCGCCCTGAACCGTCTTGTCATGCCGCTGTCATCCCCAAGATCAACCCCACCACCCCGCTACACGCCAACCCGCCAACCCCGCCATCCCCGCAACCGATCGCGATGCCATCCATACGAGAATCTGAAGGAGATCGCTACTCGGCCCCGAGATGTCGGGCGGATCTGGTAGAGGCCTTGGTGATAACCCCTGGACCATTCGACGATACCCGAATCGATGATGAAATGTTCGACACGCGTCAGGCCAACGACGCCACAACGCGCACCTTCAAATCAACGATCCTCAGGGTTCTTATGCAGGTCAATTTTCTCGTGATCAGAGGACTCGCCCTCGGAAATCTACCCGAAGAGGCTCGCACCACGCTCGATACCTTCTTTACCAACGACTACATCAACCTTGGTGACAACGTCCCGGGTGTGTACGTCAATTACATCGTTGACGAGAACGGGATCGCGCCTACGAAAGCCGATATCATCGAAATACTCGCCGTAATGAGAGAATACCTTGGGAACGACTCTGAAGTCCTCGCAGAACAGGTAGATGCGCAGTTTGGCGGGAGCCGGAAGGAATGGAGGTATGCGCATAAGCCAGAAACAAAGCGGGTTCAAGCTGCATTCATTAAAGGGATGGAGAAGAGGCTCGGGATACCTAAAGGCGCCGATGCCCAAGACTCAGCTGGATCCGAAGCCGACATTAAGGTCGAAGCTGAACCTGCTGGATCCGAAGTCGACGTCAAAGTCGAAGCCCATTCTGATGCTGACGCTGACGCTGACGCCCCATCTCGAGTCCCCGCTACCGCATACGCCCAATCCGACGATGACATGGACACCCCAATCCCATGCGGGATATCCGAAGTCGGTTTCAGCATCACCCCCCTCAAGCGCATCCAGGACCACCAAAAGCACACCAACAGCAACTCGATCATGAACCTCTTCGAGGCAGCCGCACGCTACCTGTTTGGCAACAGATATGCCATTCAGGGATATGTCGTTGCGCGGGTCGTAGACCCAACTCTCGCCGGCCTTTCCGAGGCAGTCATATCACGACTGGCCTGCTCGTACACCGACTGGGGAGGCGGATTTAACGGGAAGCTGGCTGGGCTTAGCGTACACGGGTTGAACAACATGCCTACGGTCCTTGCAGATACTAAGCTCACAAGAGAGGCATGGATAACGCACGAGGCCAACGAAGACATGGCAAACGTAGAGGATGAGAGGGTGCGGGTGCAGGAGAGGATTGCTTTTCTTGAGCAACGGATTGCTTCACGACATGATCGCCATAACTATGCCACAGAGAGGTGCATCGATGCCGCCGAGGCATACTTACTCCAGTCCGGTCGTCGCGCAGATGCCTACGAAAAGATTAAGGAGGAGAAGGAGAAGTGGGAGGAGTTCAAACGAAAAGCGGAAGAAGAGAAGGATCCCGACTGGCTCAAGAAGGTCAGGGATGTATGTGGCGCAACGTGATGTGGCGTAAACTCAAAGTATGTATTGCTCCCCTTGCTCCCTTAATTCTTGTCCCTCCCGTTACATCAAACACGGTATGTATTGCTACTGCTTGTCATCGCGTTAGAACCCGTAAATTGTAGTTTTCAATTTGATTATCTGCTTGCAGCCGCTAGCCATGTCGTCCTATGTTGATCTGCCGCCGAGCCGCATCCGTAATGCCAAGCAGGGTCTATCCCGGCGTTACTCAAACGCATCCCGGAGAAGCACGAACGCCTCATCAAACGCGCGCTCAAGCTGCATGACAATCACCCGGCATTCCACATCTTCAACCTGCCTGCCCGCAGCCTCCATCGCCATCCCAATCCGCCATGCTGCCGCCATTAAGTGACGGATTAGGTCGCCACCACCGACCTCGCGCTCCCACACCTCGTTGTCCCCTACTGGTCTCACCAGCCCGCCCCTGATATATCCGCGTAGTGCCCTGGTAGATGTAATGACTCTGTCCCCGACGGCGTGTCTCTCGGTGTCATCCAGTTCCCCCCCAGCCATGCCGATACACCGAATTATACCCTGGAGCGATATGATAGATCGGTAAATAAACATTATCACGAAGGTGCCGCAGATCTGATCATCGGTTTCTCTCTGGCGCGCCACCTTCTCCTGTTGACTGTGCGTGAGGTAACCGTCCCCGCTTCCACCTTCCCCATTCCGAGTTGGTCGATCTTGGCTGTTGTGGCTGCCTATGAACGCGTTGTCATCTGCCCCGTCTTCGCTGTTTGGGACTTCATCTCGAGCAGTGCTTGCATCTTGGCTGTTGATATCCATCTTCAGAGGTTGACGTGTTCGAGTAATGGGGCTGAGACAAGATCGGATTTTAGATTTGTGCTGAAACGTTGGATTTTTTTGTCTGAAGACCTCACGAGTGCGGAATCTGTGCCTTGGCGGATAGTTGGGAAGCAGGTGCGGATTCTGTGCTTTGATATGTAGTCAGAACGCGTTTAGCAAGATAACACCCTCAAGGTCTTATCGCGTATTCACTTCATCGCGTTATATTGAAATTACAGATTATACTTGGAGGAATAGCTTTCATTAGAGTTATATATGCTTTTTGCTACCCATCTTCATAAACGAGTGACTATAGGCCTCTTCTCCCCTCCCATCCGGTTCCGTACTTCGCCTTTGAAAAATGATTATCTCCCCATCCATAACACGCCTTTGAAAAATGATTGTCCCCATCCGGTTCCGCGCGCCTTTGAAATGATTGTCCCCGCGTAGTTCTGCTCGCCTTTGAAAATGATTGTTCCCCATCCGGTTCCGCGCGCTATTGAAATGATTGTCGCTCTCCTATAAGATATATTCGAATGCCGTCCCACTTAGTTCTGCCTCTGCGAATTTGGTAAAAATGCGATGGGTTTGATACGTCTGCCGCTCGACTTGATTTCACCTTCGAGCTCATGCCTGCCGTTTGGCAGCAGGCTGATCATCACCCTGTTCCTCTCCCCTCTTCCTCTTAAGTTCCTCGAACCTCAAATCTATTCCTGCGAATGTAGCGCGAACTTGCTGCTGAACCTCCTTAATGTCGCTTAGCTTTAATTGTTCTGAGGCGTTAACAATCTTGCCAAGTTGATCGTGAGCGGATAGAATGCCTCCCATTACGAACATTTTGGGTAACTCGACGTCTTGATGCCGAGGCAGAAACTCCCTGCTCCATGGGTTTGGTGTTCCGACGGGTACTGCTTGGTAGCCTAGAAGTGTACAGAGGTCACTGTAACAATCACGCTCTGATAGAACACCCGGTTGGGGTGTAGAGGGGTTTCCATTCTGGTCGAGAGAGCGCGGAGCGATTTGGAGCTTGATAGCCTGCTGGCGGTTTCGTGCCTCTTCATGTTGGGTGAACCGGGAGACCTCTTCGTATTGGTTGGGCTTGAATAGCTGGGGGAAGGTCAAATCATCCTCGTCTTCATCTTCAAAACCTTGATGCTTGTAGTTACCGTCATGAGGTTTAAGACTCTCATTACGGTATAAGAACTGTACGTCTGGCTCTGCCTCAGCGTCCTGCGTATCACCAGAAGTGCGGTTGTCTCGCTGCTGTTCGCTCTCTTTTTTAAAAATGTATCCTTCCCGAAGGAGCTGTTGGCGATGGGCATGGTCGAGCTGCTCTTGCTCATAGCGCTCCTTGTCCTGATCGGCAAGCTCCTGTTGGACGCGTTCAGCTGCAACCTGGCGTTTCTCCATCTCAATGCGTTGATTCGCCTCTGCTTCTAGGCGTTGCTTCTTAATGCGCTCTGCCTCCAGGCGCTTAGCTTCTGCAGCCCGTTGAGTCTCCTCTTCCCATAGTCGACGTCTCTCTGCAACCTGGATCTGCTTCTGCTTTAACTCCTTCTCCCTTTGAGCAAAGGCATTCTTTTGCTCGTTAATTTCTTTTGCTTCAGCTGAAAGGCGACGTTCCTCATCCGAGTCGAAACCTGTGTTCTCTTTGTTGGTAGGAGCGTTGGATTGGGAGGCGAGAACCGATTCGGACCGTGCTATAACCTGGTCTGGATTTTCTTTGCGATCTGACTCTTCTGAATCGAACGGGTCTAGTAATTTCCGCTTCTTCTTCTCTCCGTCCTTTGTTCCGGCTGACTGGGATGGCTGGTTCCGCCATAAATTCACCGACCTCGACTTGGGAATTATAGCCTCCTCCCCATCATCGTCATCATCATCCTCCTCGTCAGAATCAACCGGTTTATCAACCACGTTAGGAATCCGTTTCGCCTTTGGCTTCTCTGATGCCCTTTTCGGTTTGCGCGCCACCTTGGCCTTCTTCTGCTTCTTTGTAATAAGTCCATCTTGGTCCTCTGAGTCGCTCGTAGAGTTGTATCCCCCACGACTATAGACTGGTGTCGGGTTCTCGATTGGGGAATCGGTCATCTTTGAGGCGTCTTTGTTGAATCTCTTCTCACAAGACAACCGGCGGTATCTCAGACCCATGGAGTCATACATCTTCCTCGGAGCATAGCGTTTGAGCCAAGCATCTGCATATGCTTTGGCTTGAACCGAATCGGCGATCCTCACCCCGTGGACAATGCCATGCCACCACTCGGCATAGTTTGGTTGCGCCTGGAAGTTCTTTTCGGTCACCGAACCAGGCTTCCTATTCTGATCAGGCCCAAGACACCCACGCAGCGTCATGCCGTCGATCGTCATCAGGTCACCGCTGCTGTCATATAGGGTCGTTCCATTTTTATTCAGACTGTTTCGAAGCGGTTTGGATTTAATGCCCTGTCCAGGACTTGCCTTTTTTTGGATACTACCAGACCGAACAAAACCCTTGTAATCCCACAGCGATCTCGGGGGGAAGTATAGCTCATCGTCTGGCGGCAGGAGGCTCCAGTATCGCATTACGATCATCACGCCATGAGATAACGGCTGATCCTTGGGGATCATCGCCATCCTTAGCGGACCCGATCCGATGGTCGGGTTCCAGACATTCCCACCATTTGGATCCAGTACGCACCCAGCCGGAGTGTTCTTGTAATATCCTATTTTGGCCGGGACAAGTTCAGGGAACTCGGTAAGCAAACCAGCTTTTGCCTTAGCAGCCATTTTCAACCGGGTCGGTGTAGTCGGCGAGCTTGCCCAAGCGGGTCTGATCCGGTCGGACGAGAAGGGTTCAGTTGACCAGGTCGATATGTGTGTCGGATGGGTGTATGTAGTGAAGCTGTGAAACCAAAGTCAGCTAACTTCAAATTCATCAAATTGCATTATGCGCAAAGAAAACTTTGTAAGAAAACGTCGCAAGATCGAGGGCTATGGATATGATTTCACTTCACGTATACATAGTAGGGCATTTGAACTCACCTCTGCTCATAATCTGCACCTTTTTTTGCAGTGTTTACTGCAAAAAAGAGGCAATCTGCTCCTTAAAGTGATGTTAGAGTATGTTTGATAGGGTTAAAGGAAGCAATAGCGCAGCATACCTTCGTATCTTGGGTTGACAGTGTAAAAGAGAGCTTTTAGTGAGGTTAGAGTAAGTTTAATGGGGTCAAGAGAAGCAATGGCGCAGCATACCTCAGTATCTTGTTTCGGTGACGACAGAGAGAGACGATGAGGTCGGGTGCAGTGCAGCAAGATGAAGCTGAGGTGTGACGGCGAGAGAGGGAAGAGCAAACTGAGGCAACGAGAGTTTTGGCAGCGAGAGAGAGACAAGATGAAGGTGAACGGGAACAGTGAACGAAATAATGCGTATATCACTCCTAGCAAGAATATTCACTCCTGGTATTTGCCGCTGCGCCCTATATCAGCCCAAATGCCTTTACAAACTTACAGAACACGCCGACCGGTTGGGATATCCCCGTAGCTCCTCTACCCCGATTAGATTGAGAAACATAACATGCAAACCGGTTGGGTTATCACTACGCCGACCGGTTGGGATCCCCGTATCTCGTTTGCCCTAACTGCTTCAGATTGAGAAACATAACATGCAAACCGGTTGGGTTATCACTACGCCGACCGGTTGGGATCCCCGTATCTCGTTTGCCCTAACTGCTTCAGATTGAGAAACATAACATGCAAACCGGTTGGGTTATCACTACGCCGACCGGTTAGGATCCCTGTACCTCGTCTGCCCCGACTGCTTTAGATAACATAACATGCAAACCGGTTGGGCTATCACTACGCCAAGCGGTTGGGATATCCTCATGGCTCCTCAGTCGCCCTCGACCGCTTCGGATTAAGAAACGTAACACGCCAACCGGTTGGGATCCCCGTACCTACTGCCCCGACCGCTTTAGATTAAGAAACATAACAACGCAAACTGGTTGGGCTGTTACTACGCTAACCGGTTAGGATATCCTCATGGGTCCTCAGCCGCCCTCGACTGCTACGGATTAGAAAGTAGAACACGCCGACTGGTTGGGCTATCACTACGCCGACTGGTTGGGATATCCTCGTAACTCCTCGACTGTCCCAAACTGCAACGGAGTGAGAGGCAGGCCTTCCACACCGCAACTGATCGCCACCTCAAAACTACAAAACACGCCAACTGATCAGGTTATCCCCGTAGAAACTCTACGGCATGCGATATACGTTCTCTCACGCGACCACCTCAGACGTTAGAGGTATGCGCTAAAACCAGAGACACGGCGCATGCAAGCCACGTTTATCGATGGAATAGAATAGCCAACGGCTGATGCCTAAGAATCAGCTGGATCTGAAGCCGACATCAAGGTCGAAGCTGAACCGGCAGGGAAGAACGATAGAGATGGGCATGGTAGGGAAGAACGATAGAGACTAGCATAGTAGGGAAGAACGATAGAGACAGACATGGTAGGGAAGAACGATAGAGATGGGCATAGTAGGGAAGAACGACAGAGACTAGTATAGTAGGGAATAGCAACAGAGATGGGCACAGTAGGGGAAGAACGACAGAGACGGACTCGTAGCACTAAACTTCTCCTTAGTAGTAATGACGAAAGTAGTTTAGAGTTGCTAACAAACCTTAGCGCGACATATAATTTATAAGCTTAAAGTCGCCATTTAATATGAGAAAATGAATAGTAATCAACGGGTAGGCACTACTTCATTTCTACACAGAAGTCGTCTCGAGTGACAAATGGAGAGATTAGTGAACAACAGCAAGTCCGTGATTATAGAGCAGAATAGGCGTCGACGGTATGACGTGCGGGATGGCTGCAAACAAACTATATAATACACGCCTTCGTCGTTATAATCATCTCATTACCATCGTCTTGTTCATTCAATAATATCAATTAATACAACCAACCAATCGCCGAAATGTCTCTTAATTCTGTTCTTTTGACCGGTGGCACAGGCAGCCTCGGCGCAAGCATCCTCTCGCAGCTGCTCTCGAAGGGCCACAGCGTGACTGCGGTCGTGCGATCCCTCAAGAAGTCCGCGCCTTTCCTCACCCGACAGTATGCCTCTCAAGTCGATTCCGGGAAGCTCAAGCTTGTCGAGGTTCCTGACATGACGGTCCCACACGCATTTGACGAGCTTGTAAAGACCGTCGATGCCATAATCCATGTGGCTACCCCTCTGTCAGACAGCGACTTTCAGAGGACACTTATTGATGCGACCTTAGCCATCAACGAGAATATATTCGCAGCATCTCTGAAAGCTCCCTCTGTCAAGCGCATTGTCATCACTGGCAGCATTGTGTCTACGATGGCCCTTCCTGATGTTCTGTTCCGACCCATCACTGTGAGCGCGGACGACTATTCCACTATTACTAACGAGCAGGGCCTATCAAGTCTCCCAGCCGCATATCAATACGCCAAAACTTCATCCGAGAAGAAGGCCTGGGAGTTCATGAAGACGGCAAAGCCATCCTTTGATCTTGTCGTCCTGCTAGCCCCTGCTATTACTGGAAAATGCATCCAGGAAGGATTCGTGCCATCCAAAACGGCCCTCGGAGGCATGGCCGAAATCTACCAGAATGTCTTTGACGTCGAGACTCCGGGACTTGTCTTCCCTTTCGTTATGTAAGTTTATGTTTTCGGCGTTAGTTGGTACGCATACTAATTCAATTAGGGATGTCGAGGATGTTGCTTCTATCCATGTTAAGAGTCTGGACTTGAAAGTCGCAGGGAATGAGAGATACCTCTTCCATTCCGGTCATCCTCAGAACTCGTCAGAAATCGCGAAAAAGATTCGCGAGGAGTATCCCCAGTTAAGAAACCGTGTCCCCGAAGTCCTCGACGAAAGTGCGGAGTCTCCTGTCAAGGTGAAGGTAGACACTTCCAAGTCCGACAAGGTGTTTGGCGGGCCGTGGAAGGATTGGTGGGAGTCTGCAAAGGACACAGTTGACGACATTATCAAGTTTGAGAAATAGACTGTCAGCTTGTAATTTACCAAACTAAAGATATTAAACAAATGTGTTGCTGTCACCTCGAGTGTTGTATAAACAGGCGGCTTCGGGAACGAGCACCAGTGTTGCCCGAGTACTACTCGTTGCGAGTACTACTCGAGTAATTACTCGAGTAGTACTCGACTCGAAGAAATCTGAACTACTCGAGTACTACTCGAGTAGTACTCGAGTAGTACTCGAGTAGTTGCCAAGATAGCCAAGAAGCGGGGT